TTCCGGCTTCCTCATGAAACTCTTTGATCTCAAAAGAGGTTAACATTTTGTACATAAGAGCTAAAGCGTTTCCTCTCTATCTCCTCTCACCTTTTAATTTCTTTCAATTTTACTTTCTTCTCTGTGCTTCCACTCCCAACATAAAAGGAAAGGTGCCCAACCCTTCTCCTCTCTGCTTTCAATTTTTCTCTTTCTTGTCTCCCTTTAACTTTCTTTATATCTCCCCCAACATCCACTATTTCCCTCTCTTGACCCTCTCCTTTTCTTTTGTCTCCGCCTCGCCCCCCCTCCCCCATCACACCGTCTCCCTCTTCATCTTCCTCTCTCTCTGAAACCTGATTTACCGCTTGTTAACATCAAAGGGATGTTAGACTGTTGGTGCCCTCAAACTATTTCTCCAAATCATTTTTATATTCCAGGTGTAAATCAGTGTGAAAACTGCACTTGGTTACTGTGGCAGGGTTCAGTCTCCAATGAAGGTATAAGACAGCAGAAGTCAAGGGAGTGCACAATGGTTCTGCTTGAACTACCACTGTAGTCATTGTCCAGGCTCGTCATTTCTACCACAGGTTTGCTCAATTACTTCTGCTCTATGGCTGAATGCCCCAAAGGATCGTTTTAGAGAAATCAAGTTTTAGTTCGTTTTGTCAGCATTTGAAAAGTTTGAAGAAACGGGCTTGGAACTTTTCAGGTCAGGAACACAGAAGTTTTGCGTTTTACGAAATACTAATTTCATTCCACCGCAGAGGGATGAACGATGAGTATAAAATGCATGCTGGGTGATTACATGAAATACAACTTATGATCTTAACTCTAAATACAAGGGTGAAAGTATGTCGAAATGTATGAAAGTTGCTTACATTTTAATGGCATATATGGTTATATGGTATTTTTGTGACAAATTATGCAAAAGACTCTATTTAGAGCAGCCCAAATCAATATTTTGATGAATTTTTATGACTATGTGTAACAGTTGGTGACCAGCGTTGTTAGACGTTGATATTTGGTTAAATTTAGGTTGTGAAGTTGGATAACCAACGTCAGGACGATGTCCAAATTCCAACAGCAAGTTGACGTAATAATATTGATGACAGGTGACAATGATATATTCTTGGTTATAAGTTGTGTTGTTAAGCAACCAAAATCCACCATCTCCCAAACATCTCAAGCCAACGTCACCTTGATGTAGAATAATAACATTTAATTGTGAGGTATGGAAAACAAAACTCAATGTCTCCACAATGTCATATTGTTGATGTCCACACAGTGTGAAATTCTAACATTGTTAAAGGGATAGTGCACCCAAAAATGAAAATTCAGCCATTATCTACTCACCTTCATGTCGATGGAGGCTCAGGTGCACTTGAGCGAGACCGTGAGACATGGGCACTGCCTTCATGTGTGTTCACGTGCTTTCGCTGGTCTCGTGCACAAGCACACACACGTGAGCGCGGTGTACAGAGAGAGTTAGAGCTGCAGGCTACAATGAGGCTAAAAACAGAGTTCAAATGATGTTTTTCCAAACAACTTTTTATGTCGGGGCTTCAGGACACTTGGATCACTACG